TCTACACTATATAGTATATATGATACAGCCTAATATCAGTTGTACCGTAGCAGGTGAACTCATTTTCAGCGGTGATATTGTCATGATATACTAGACTAAATAGAGTAAATTATTGTTGACAATAAACAATAATGCACAATATACAATATTATTGTGTCACGTAAATGATTATCATGCCTTTAGTGCGTAGTGATTAGGTACTTCATGAGACATGGTCACGGATTAGATATACTTTACTGGTATCGACTAGGTTAGGGGTAGTAGAGGAATGGTCCTCAAATATTTCGACACCGCCACTCCACCATAATAATAAGCCGTATAAGGTGTAACGTGCCAACTACTTCAGTTGTTGTGTTGAGGTATTTGAATGAAAACCACGAAGTTGATAGAGTATAATTTTGAATATTTATTCAACTTAGTAATTATTGTAAGTTATATATATAAATGATTTGATTTTGAAAATGGTAAGCGAGATGTGACTTTGTAGTATTCTGGTGTCTGCTCGAGTTGAGGCTGGCTACTCGTCTGATGGATGGTTGTCCATCGACGTATTTCATCGGGTAGTTCACTAGATCCCTACCACGGCTTTTTAAATATTAAAATTGGTACACGCGGCGCAAAACGCATGAGGTAATTTCGGACGTCATTCTTAAAAATATATTATTTCTGGAATACTATTTTGCACTATTTTACTATTATTTTTACCTAGAATTTTGTCTATTAAAAATGCATATCACCATCACGTGGTCTTATAACGCCTCTCGCTGTACCATTGTTATTTTTTACTATTTGTGGGTGCAGCCGGGATTACGCGCTCGCTCTTAATAATTAGATATTATAACTATTTACTTTGATGCGAGCCGCCCTGCAGCGTTTATATATATATTATTATATATTGTATTATATTATTATACTATATTAGGTATTGTCAAAAGTCACAGCCCGTTACAAAGGTAATAAGGTAATAAGGTACAATTTTTGGTAGAAGCGCTCCTATTAACAAATAACGTATCAACTCTGATATTGTACATACTTATAATTAACATAGAAAAATTATTATTATCTATACGCTCGAATTCCAGTGAATGTTGCCGGGAAGTTATCAAGACGTGTGAGGGCAGAAGAGAAGGAATCAATTGTGAACTTTGACGAATCCGTTAAAATAGAACATAAAACAAATTAATATAGGTTAAATAGGTTACATAACTGAGGAATATTTGTACAATTATTTATCTTATCAACACCTGTGCGATTTCTACGGTGGTAGAATCACAGAACAAACAGAAGGGAATCTTATTTCATTTAACATAGGCTCTTATGGGAGATGATAAAACCACGTCCGACATTTCTAAAATTTAAACGTGCTGCCACGTACCGGGAATTTCTCTTTTTTCTTTATATTGTGCAGCACTGTTTATTCGTTCAAATTTCTAATATATTATTAATAATAATATATTAGAAATTTGAATAATAATTTATTATATTCAAACAATCGAACCGATTTTTTTTAAGAAATTGCATTTTTACCATTTATCTAAGTACAGAATCTAAGAAAAACAAAAACTATACATATTTTATTTATCACTATATTTAGTTGATGAATGAACAAAAATGCATAGGTACACAGAAGATTACAAAACAAATTATGTACGCTGGTTTTAAATAATCTAAGCAGTAATAATTTTATTTTATTTTTTTGGAACTTGTGTAATTAGTACCTACACGCAATTGCTAAGACAAAGTGAAGATTTATTCTAAATAAATATACTGGTAGAAGTATGTGACATTATTACATAACCTGTACCTATAGTCAGTAGGAATACCTCAAATCCACATTTAATACTCTCTAAGAGCTGTAAAATTTAAATTATTACACCGTATAAATTCAATTTATTTTTTTATTTTTTTGTAAAGTATCAAAAACAAATTACATCATCGTAAACAATTATTACAAATAATAAAACAAATATAACAATCAACACGCATAACAAGTTAACATTATAATTTATTTAATAGGAAAACTCAGACTTTGATAGTTACCAAATGAGGAATATTAATTATGAAAGTACGTTAGTACTTGACTAAAAAATTACAAAAATAATAAAGTTAAAATAAGAATAATGAGTGGAATTGCAGATTAACAGTGTAGCCACAAACCACAGAAAACTTAAAAAAAAGGGAATTTCTCGGTACGTGGCAGCACGTTTAAAATCTAAAAATGTCGGACGGTTTTTCGATGAGCCTTAAGATTCCCTTCTGTTTGTTCTGTGGTAGAATTACCGGCGGCGGTGATGGCGCACACAAGGAACAAATACGGGTGTGTTGTACGGGTAGGAATACGATTTAGAACGGTCATTATTGGCGATACCTTTTTTAGACCCTTTTGACTATTACGATTGAGAACTCTCAGTTTTTATTTTTCCTCGCAACGTTGCCAAACTTTGCCATATAAAAATCGGCTATGGCTATAGCCTATATAAATATATATGACTCTTAGCACTCATCATACACTGTCTATGTGGCAGGAATAAACGTCTTTAAAACTCAATACTATTCAACAGCGTACTGTTCAAAAGGCATCGAAAGCAGATGAAGAAAAATTTAGTACTGCTTTATTGGGTGAGCGGTTATTTCATTGTTCCATTTCGAGTGATCTCAATCGTACTCTAAAAAAGGTCGAACGTTCTCAATCGTATTACAGTCGTTGTACGGAGGTTGACAATTGCAAACGACGGCCGCGGATGGCGCACCAACATTCGACACCTTCGCGGCGTTATTCGATTCGTATGAGTATCGGCAGCGGCGATGACGCACGGCGACACAATTACAAAAATGTAATGATGACAAGAAACACAACATGGAGTACTGTTACGAGAAAAGTGCGTCACGTTTTCACTTGTTTTTGGCACAACGGTGATTTGGGCTGACGACGGAATGTAACGGCAAAAGCACACACTCGTTATTACGATAGGTATAACAAACACGTCGCATGCAAAATGAACACAACAATGGATACTGAAAGAAAAGCGGGGAATACGTTGGTTGTTGTAATTAAAGGCAAAAAGGCACGATACGACTGCGTTGTTAACATATTACACGTGACGTTTACGCGCGGTGCAAAACACAAGAAAAACCGATCAGAGGAACTAATATCCGCGTGGGGTACAGTCGTTAGTTTAGGAGGAATCGTAAGTGTCATTTCCAGATGTCCTTGTCGCTGTTCTTCAGCGACTTTAATAAGTAAATGTACCTGTACTTTTTCTGAGGAACTGACAACGCGGATGTACACCATCACCGCGTTCCCTAATTGGTAGGCATCGCCAAACCCGATGAGTTGTATATCCCGGTAGTCACGAGTGTAAATGCTATCTTGGATAAAGAGGGAAATTCGGCCAAGAACTGACTTCAAGTGATACGCAAAGAAGAAGGAAGCGCAGTGTCGCATTCCTTGGACTCTCTTGCCAAAGTTGTTGCATAAAAGACTTGGCCTATAACAAAATTGACCCCAGTGCACCGACAGGATCCCATTGGAGGCCGATATACCGTATACTTAATACACCCCCCCCCCAGTTTACTCCTGTACTTGCAGTTACCGTATGCGAGGCACTCAAACACGACACGCATAATCTATTTTTTGTTACATGGTTCAACGATTTAATAGTTGTCAATTTTTTGAACATGCTCCAACGGTATATCGCATGGTCAAATTGGCAACATGAAAGCTGTTTGACTAACTCAGCGGAAGCCGAGCTGGATCTGTGAAAGTGTTATCTAATATTTTGCACCATTGTTGCACGAATTTAATTAACACATCAAACGTAGGAATTGAATTTGTGCAATGGGAATTGGAGTGTACATTATCATTGAGTTTCATATCACATATGTATCAGTGGCGTACGCAGAATTCGTTAATGGGGGGGGTTACCATATTTTATATACAATGATCCTAGTCTAAATATAATATTCCATAAAAAAAATTATTATTCGTATTTTACTTGGGGGGTTAAACCCCTAACCCCCCCCCCCCGTCGGTACGCCACTGATATGTATAGATGGCACTTTTACTCCTAGTTGTAAAATACGGCATCTTTCGAAGCATTTGAGAGCCACTGATAAGGAAGTCGATACCAGTCCAGTATATCTTAGTTCGTGGACATGTGTCACGGTTTTAGAAGATAAGGAAGGAAAAGTAACATAATCAGAAGTACATTATCTGATATACATTATCAGAATTCCGCTTAGTGAGGAAAATAAATTTCCAAATTTTGCCAATGTGTAATTGACAGCTGCCATACAGACTTTTTTGAGGTGATGTAATTGTAGTATTATACTAGTTTAAAAGGATCATATTCTATCATATAAAATAACTAGTTTATTATAAACTAACTATAGTTACTATGGTCGAAGACAATAATATGATATTAAAGTCCATACAAATAAAACCACGAGTGTCGTATAAATTTGTTCCTAACCTCAAAATACGTCAAATCGAATTGGGAAACGTTTTTGCATCATTATAAGGAAATATTTTAATGGACATTAGGCATGAATATTAGAGGATAACCTAGTTAACCTAACCTAACCAATGTTCATGACGGGAAGTTAGGCAGCTTTTCGACCTTATCTTCTAAGAACCGCAATAACCAGGTATCTCTGCTTTTTTTTGAAAGTGACTTTTCCGTGAAAACGATTTCATGGAAGAATACCTAGTCACGTTACCCATATATATATATATCAACGAGATATATAAAGGGGCTCGAACATCAGACCGAATGTTGACAATCAAAAAAACCTCACTGACGCCAGACGGTAAAATATTTTATGCCACTCGCCAAAATATTGTTAATTATTTTCCTATGGGAATAAATAAGAGAATGAGTTTCCACATGGTCACTATGAACATTTCTGAAAAGTGACATTTTATAGTTATTGCATAGTTATTAAATAGTGTTTTAAATAATAAAATTATTTTACTTTTCCTTATAGAGTATTTTCTTCACATGGATGTTAAGAGAAATCAAAGGTTCACAGCTTTAGAAGAAAAAAATAGCCAAGGTATATAATAGTAAACAGTATTATATTAAATAATAATTTAAATGTAAAGTGTAAACATACTAAGTACTTGTATAATTAATTCAATTTCATAAAAAAAAAAATGAACTAAGATGGATATAAATAGGGTGACTTTCCCGTGTACTTTTTCTTTTTATTAGAGGTACAACAACTTGTTATTTTAAAATTAATTTAAAGCTGTATATCAAATATCATAAAAACTATTAGTAAGTTCTACCCTTAAAAAAAATTATGATCAGTTTAAGCACACTTTTTTTTCGTTATGAGTAGAAAAACTCATGTGTTCCTTCTTTTAAAATTCTTACTGATGAAAAAAAAATTTTATTAATTTCGAACTGAAAAAAGTTAAAAATTAAAAATTTCTTCTGAAAATATTAAAATGTTTAGGAAAATGGTCATTTTAACATTTGGTTAAAATCTCAAATACTTATCTAGTATCATTCGTTTATGAATTACAACAAAATATCAGAAATTGATTGATGAAAATTCCTTAATTTACCGATGAAAATCCATTATCATGAAAATTTTGAATTCAAATGCTCATAAAAAATGTTACTTTCCGGTAAATTTATTTTTTTTTTGGTTTAAAATAAGAACGTTTGTGGAAACATTTTTAACATTAGAAAAAACCTTTATCAACAACTAACTGAAAAATAGTTTGAACATTTTCGAAATGTTGATAAATATACTCAAAATTTGAATTAAAATAATATAATTGAGCCTATGTATCTTTAATAATTTTGAACTTCCATTAATAAAATATAAGAGAAATCTAGCATTACCTTTTCAAGCTTTTTTAACAAGTGAAAACGTTTTTATCGAGAATAATTTTAAAAAAATATCCAAAACTCTAAAAATGTCTCAAGGGTTTATAGCTTTTATAACTAATTCAAGAAGACCAAAAATATTTAAAAATATTGCCATTTATGGAAAATACTAATAAAAATATTTGAAGAAAATATCATGGGTCTACAGTTATTAAATTTTGAGTTACATCAAAAAAATAAAATTTTTCAAAAATTGGTTCTGCGTAAAAATTATGACTTTTTATTGTTTTTCTTGACACTTCCTAAGACTCCTTGAGATTTTAAATTTTGACCTCCTAAAAGTACCAACAAGATTTTTTCTATCAGAAAAGATATTGATCACGAAAATTGGAGTATTTTTACTGCCCAAAATGTTGATGCCAGACAGTTGAAAAAACGCACATCATTGTAAAATCAATACATTCTTTCGATCTGCTCAGAATCTAAAATAATTAAAATAATGTAGTTCTTTTTTTTTCCTATTGATCTTAACCCGTCGTTGGTACGCCGCTCACACAGATAGCATTTCGAGCGTTATTCGTACAAATATTATCAAATTAATCTGATCCTATAAATACCTTCAAATAACATGTGTAAAAATATTTATAAAAATGATTGTACTAGTACCGATTATGTGAGCGTCGCGCAGCACTGTTGTACTAACCACGCAATATTTTTATCACCGCCGCCTCAGTCGATTGCATTGCACGGTTGGAGGGACTTATAGTCCTTTTCCTGAGTTTCGGGGGGTTTAGCCCCATGACTCAGAGTAGAAGGTGGTGTGGTTGAGGTGCTTTTTATGTGCGCCTGGTCAGTTCACCGGGTCTGTTTCTGTTGAGTTCTGGTGGGCCGATCGTTTTGCCTATGCTTTGTAGGTGGTTGTAGTGGGATTGTTGGAGTTTGACGAACATGTTTTTTGAATTTTGAGTGATGGTTGTTTGGATCGATGGAATTTGGCTGGATTTTGAAATGACGGTGTTCCGGACAAACCAGGGCGAGCCAGTGATTGTTCTGAGGGCTATGCTTTGTACTGCTTCCAGCCGTCTCCAGTTTGCAGTTGATATAAGTGCACCCCATGCTGGACCGGCGTATGTGATTATGGTTTTGACGTACATCTGGTGTATGTTGAGCTTCGTTCGAACTGGGATCGGACTCAGCCGGTTGAGCACGGGGTATAGTGCGGCTCGAGTGCGTCTCGCTTTTTGCGTGGTTTCCGTGACGTGCCGGTTGAATCGAAGTCCACTGTCGAGGTAGACTCCGAGGTATTTTACCACAGGTTTCCAGCTGATCTCCTGGTCGTAGATTTTTAGTTGTGTCGTATTTTTAAGACCTCTTCTCCCGAACTTTATTGCCAGGGTTTTGTCGGTGTTCAGAGTCAGCTTCCATTTTTGAAGCCAAGGAAGGGTGACGTCGATTTGTGCCTGGAGTTTGTTCACTGCATGCTGCATGCCCATGCTGGTTGCCATAAACATGGTATCGTCAGCAAAGAGGTTAGTCCAGGTTCCGGGAGTAGAAGGCATATCGTTTATGTATGATATGAACAGAATTGGCGAGAAACATGATCCTTGGGGGACGCCTGCAATCGGTGTTCTTGGTGTTGAGAAGTCGGAGCCGACTCGGACTGAGTATGTTCTGTCGCAGTTGAATGATTGCACCAGGCTGACGAGCAAAGGTGGTACGTGTAGCTGGAGTAGTTTGTACAGTAGTCCGTCGTGCCACACTTTGTCGAACGCTTTATCGAAGTCCAGGAATACTGCCGCTGTTCGCTCTTCTCGGTTTGTTGTGTTGGCTAGGTGGTCGATTACTTTCGTCAGTTGGTTGGTTGTTGAGTGTTGTGATCTGAAGGCATATTGGTCGGGTCAGATGGAAGTAGATATGACTTTTTTCAGTTTGATCAGGATTATTATTTCCAGGACCTTGGCCATTGAATTGATGAGTGCTATAGGTAGGTGGCTGCTTGGATTTTTGAGATCTTTTCCTGATTTCGGTATCATTGTCACTGTGGCTGCTTTCCATGGAGTAGGGAAGTGTTGATATCTTAGACAGCAGTTGAACATTTTGGTCAGAGTCAGGAGGGTTTTGTTAGAGAAGTGACGGAGAGCCGTGTTGGAGATGCCGTCGGGTCCCGGCGCTTTGTTGCGTGGTAGTCGCTTAATGATGTTTTTAACTTCTCCTGGAGAGACCGGCTGGATTGGTGATTTTGCTGACGAGTTTAGGATTTGAATTGAGTTGGCGACTAGTAAGTTGGTGGCTGGTGTTCCATCCGGGCAGTTGAATTGTGTGGCTAAGTTAGCAGCGAAGAGTTCAGCTTTCCCTGGGGCATCGCAGACGGGTCCTTGTTGGCCGTTTAATGGGCGATTTGGAGGTTTTCTGTTGATTAGAGATTTGTTGATTTTGAAAATTTTTGGGTCTCCAGGTCTTAGTTTTCCAAGGAAGGAGTCCCATTAGGATTCTCTGTGAAGTTGGATGAGCCTCTTAACTTTTGATGTCTGGTTATTGAACCTGTGTTTGGATTCTGGGTTCCTGGTGTTTTGCCAGGCCCTCCGTAGTCTTCGCTTTTTTATGATTTCAAGCTGGATATTGTCTGGTATGCGTGCTTGATTTGGTTGGTTGTCGAGGATAGATGCATTTTTGGACAAGGCGTCCCGGACAGTAGTGTTAAAGTTCTCGATCGCTTGATTGAGTTCCGATGTAGATTTGATGATTGGATTTGGACTTGGGATGGCAAAATGCAGATCTACTGCGAATTTTGGCCAGTTTGTAACATGTCTGCTGATTTGGTGGGTCGGACGATGGCTTGCCGCGAAGTGTTAAGATGACCGGACTGTGGTCAGACGAGAGTTCGTCTGTGAAGTTGCAGAGTTCATATTGTAGGTGGTTGTTCTTCAGTATTACAATATCTAGGACGTCAGGTTGATGTTGGCGCTGGTCGGGGTATCTGGTGCAACAATGAGGTAGTCATTCTCCTCCATGTGGTTGATTAGTATCAGGCCAGCAGCATTTGTTCTTCGGCTGTTCCAAAAAGGGTGTTTAGCGTTCATATCACCCGCGAGAATTGTCGGAAGGTCAGTGTCTAGGAGGTTGTCCACGTCAGATGGCATAAGTGCATTTATAGGCCTTTTGTAAATCGCCGAGAGTCTGGTCTCTCGGTTGTTTATCTGGATGTGGATGGTAGTGTTTTTCAGAGAGTTTGTCTGGATAGGGACTTCGTAGTGAACGAGCTTGTTGGCTACTAGGATCGCTGTGCCTCTGGCGCTTCTTGTCTGGCCGGAAGGAGTAGGTCGATAATTTCTGTAAATGTGGTAATTTGGGAGTTTGAATGACGCTGTGCGTTTGAGGTAGGTTTCGCTGAGTAGGATGATGTGGATTTTATGTTGTCTTATGAAATTGAGGAGTTCTGATTTTTTGTTGCCCAGTCCTTGGTAATTCCAGTAGAGGATTTTAAGTTGTTCGCTCATCTTGATTTATGAGTGAGACTATGGCCGATAATGCCGACAGGATGGTGTCTTTGAAGTTCGATGCAGTAGATATCTGATATATGGCGTGGTTCAGTATATCAATCAGGTTTGTGTTTATCTCGTTTAGCGGTTGGACTGGAGGAGCTAGTTGAGATTTTGACGGTGATAGTGCCTGTGCATAGGTGTTAGTGAGTGGTATAGATGTTGGTTGAGTAACTGGTGTCGGTGTGATGTCATGTGGTTTGGATTTCTTTGCAGAGGTAGCCTTGATGTAGGCGGGGCATTGACGGTAGTTGGCCGTGTGTCCACCATTGCAGTTGCAACATTTTGGCGGTTGGTCAGGAGTTTTGATGCACGTTTTGGTTGCATGGTCGTTGCCGCATTTCACGCATTTTGGCTGGTGCTTGCAATTAGCTGATGAATGTCCGAAACCTTGGCTTGTGAAGCACTGAGATGGTCCCGATGTTTTGTAGGCCTCTACGCGGATGATTACGTAGAATAGACTGGGTAGGTGAAGATGTTCTTGCTTAGCTGGGTGTTTGGGAGACACACCATGTACATCGGCAGCTTCCTCCCGTCTTTCAGGAATTGGCGCACGTGAGAGATGGTGTATCCAAGTGATTCGAGCTCAGATTTCACGGAATCCTCGGTGTTGTAGCTTGGGACGCCTCAGAGCAGCACTTTGAGTTGACGTTCTGCCGGTAGAGAGAAGGTGTGGAAGGGTATGTTGGCGTTCACCATAACGGTCTGTACTGAACGGAAGGTGGTTGTGTTTGCAGCTTGGAGCTTGATGTTGTTCTGACTGAACTTGGCCGTGAGTTTGTCCTGGGTGAATGAAGGCATGATC